CATAGTTCCTACAAACAAATGAAGCAAATTAATGAAGCCACAGTGGTAAATGAGAACTCATAGCAAGTGGTCTCAGTGTAAACACATAAGCATGAGCATATTATCTCTTAGGCATTTAAGCTAAGCATTTATAATATTCAACATGCTTTGTGTTTCCAATTTAGCATCTTTTCGTTTTCAAGCTTATTTTTCTGTAATACAATATATATCTTGTTCTCCTTTGTGCCATTTGGCAATGTGTTTAGAACACTGAGCTAAAAGATGCCTTCTCTTTTCATTTTACATTACACTTGAGCCTAGCTAGACAAAACAGTTCAAAACCATCTGTATTTGGGGTTGAAGAGGAAGAGATGGCAGAATCTATTCATTCAACAGCTGAGACCTAGTTTTGGAAGGCAGAGTTGTACTTGAATGGTGGAATTTGCCGACTTGTGCTATAACGTAGATTTTTTGTGATGTTTTCTTTTAAAATTTTTCCTGATCTAATTTTGCCTATTTCACATGTGAGGTACTACAGGCGTGTTCCCAGATGTGTCCCCTAAATGTATACATAGTACCTAATCAACTAGGAAAGATTTTACATCAGAAGCATCAAATGATGTTCTGTCTCTCATTTTCTCTCCCAGCAGTGATGAGAAATAAGTGTCTTTGGACTGCAGTGGTATTTAGCTGCTGCATATATTACTACTACTCAAGGGCCCACTCTTCTATGTCTTAGGGCACCATCACAGTTTATGCCCTCTCATGACCAGACTATAGACACCTGTACTTTATAAAATTGCTGCTGACTGCAGGACAAGGGAGCAGAGCTTGTTTTCTTTTAGTCATTTTCAAATGGGAGATCTTGTATGTTGATTCAGGACGTGTTGGTGACATTGTCTGTTTCCCTTTGAGTTTCACAAGACTTGGTAATTTTGGGATTCCAACTTTCAAGAAATTTAGCCAAGTGCATTTAAGTCTCCTGTGTGTGGTTTGGTTTTGTTTTGTTCTTGTTTTTTTATTTGTTTTTTAAATATTCCTTGCCAGCAGGAACCAGGGAAGGGAAATGGGTTTGTGGTGAGCCTTGATTTTAACTTGTCTTAAAGGAGCGGGCTGTCTGGCATAGTTAGAAGATTTAAAGGTCACTGACATCAGCGATTAATCCCCAAGGTGTCTCCAGGGCAAAATTAGTATCAGTTCCTTTGCCCTGGAAAAATACAGCATATCAGCAAGCTTTTCTTCCAGCTACCCTTCAGC